TTTTCCACTATATTCAACACTATTAACTACCAGCCAGTGCCCGCTCTTCGGAGGTCACGAACGAAAGTCCAAGGCCAACGCTCCGAAGCCTTCGACCAGCGACAAGGCGGATCGGATGACCTCGGAGGGTGTTTGAACGGGGAAATCCTAGAAATTGGGATTGAAACTATTGAAACACGAAAAAACTGGCTGGAGAGATGAGAGAAAAAGGGGGATATCAAAATGTTGGATCTGTTTTCACCAACATTTTGATGAGTTTTTGTCTTTTTGGGTCCGAACATAAAGGATTGAACCTCAAAAAATATGGCCATTTGGATGGAAAAATGATGAGAAAACTCTGGCATTTTGGCGAAGGCGCACCTGACCCACCAAGCCACACCGGAGCACAGGGAGGAGCAAGGGGGTGAGTTGTGTCGAAGTTGGGAACTCAAACTGTTCACCCCAAAAAAGTGGACTGGATGAATATCAAGGGTTTTTTTGGAGCTTTTTGGGTTGTCTGATGTTGTCTGATGTTGTCTGGATTTTTTTTTGAGATTTGGAGATAGATGTTCACTCCCCCACAACTGAAGCAAGAGGAAGCTTCTTCAGGCTTCATTCTTGAGCGGGTATCAAGGTTTGGTTGCATGTCCCACGTGGATATGTCATGATATGTCTCAAAGTTGGAGGCTCTTTGGAACCCCCAAGATGGATCAACATGTCAATTTCATTTTTTGGGCCTTTCTGAGATATGCCGGGACTTCGCCGTGTCATGCGAACGTACCAAGGGCAGATCCCAACATTTTTCAAAGAAGCGATGCTAACAGGACTTCGCCCTCTCCGATGAGGAAAGCGACTTCAGTGATGATGAAGATGTACAAATCTTCAAGGTGCTCTGGTAATAGATACAGCTATGGAATATTAGTGGAAAGGTGATATCCTGGAGTCACTGTACAAAGTACAAACTAAGTTTCTCACTACAACTGGCGGTTCCAGTTGTGAGTGGTTCTGTAACTCTACTTAACGGGGATGAAGTTCTATCACATCCCGGGTATGGGAGGGATCACAATAATGCACCTCCACTTCCGTGACGATCGGTGCAACAGCTGGGCACGTGTGGTAGCAATGAAGGGTGAGGCCGGTGAGGCAATGACGAGGACATGACGTATACCGTCTGGTAATTTGTTACATAGCTCATAGCTATTGAAAATGGCCATTTATAGTTGATTTACCTATTAAACATTGTGGTTTTCCATAGCTATGTTAGTTTACCAGAGGGTAGTACAAGTCATAACTACTGCAGTTTGTACCGCTCCATTCCAAGTAATTCTTTGAGTGTAGCACCACCTATCCTCTGGCAAGCCAACTCGGATGTGAAAAACACATGAATACACAATATGTTCACTTAGGCAAAAGTGTTCACAGATGGTGTGTTGTCCACTTCCAGGTAAATTTTGTGCCGGTTTCTAGAATCCCGTGGTTTAGAAGATCCCATCTTCCTTGTTAAAATGGTCCTTAAATTGCTATCCCGCCCCATTCTTGGACGAAACCAATCCCTACACTTGGTTATATATCCCCATGATGTTTGGCTTAATCCCAATCTCTTAAGGGTAAATCCACAATGGTAACGCTATAAAATCCTGTGAATTGTCGCCAATGGATGCTAGACCCCAATCATCTAATATCCCTTGATATAGCAAGAATTCGCCAGAGTTTCCATTGTCAAAAATCAACTTTTCCCATTATGTATATATATATATATATCCAATTATTTTCCATTATATCATCCAAACAAATTGGAAAAGAAATGGGGTTTCTCACTTTTTCCACAAGAAAATTCCATGACTTTCCCATTTCCCCAGGGTTTTTCAACTGTCTCTGGTGAAGCTAGGCCCTCAGGTCGGGCGGTGGGTCGTCCCTGGTAGGCGAACACCGCGTCCCACAGTCGACCGCGGGATGGGCGCAAGACCTACTCCATGCAGGTCGAACATCCGTTCCATGGGTTTTCATGGGGATATTTTTTGGGGATGTATTTTTTTCATGATCTGAAGATTCGCGGGAATTGAATGGATATTGATGGGATATGGGTTCATACCCTCTGGTAAACTAAGAGTTTGCGAACTGGAAAATGGCCATTGATGATGGATTATGATGGATTTACCTTGTAAACATGGTGATTTTCCATAGTTATGTTAGTTTAACAGAGGGTATCTCCAAATTGCCATTTCATTCGGGAAATATGGTTATATTTCATGGCTATAATCATTACAATTTCTGAAGACATTTGGATTTGGGTGTGTTTGTTTCAGTGGAGTGTACCCACCAAGTGGCAATTTTAAAGAAGGACCATTATTATAAACGAGCGGATTTGGGGGTAGCATAGTTCAGACAAATCCAGGTAGGGAATTCTGTAGGTGATAGTTGGCCGGAGAACCATCCGAACAATATCCAAACATATGAGGGAAATCATCCCTCAAACATCCTCAAACGCATATCAAAAAAGGCAAATTTCATCTGATTTTCAGCACAGGAATTGTATGGAATTGTAGAATTTGCCCCAGATTTTCATCCTTTCCACTGGAAAAAGGAAAAAGGAAAAAAACAAAAACAACTCCGCACTTCCCAAAATTGGTTGAAGATAACATTTACCAGAACAAAAACCACTAATCTTTGCTGGGAAAAGCCATAGATATTCCCATTTTCAAACCCATTGGACCATGAGGCGGCTCTAGAAATCTCCTCTTTGCCGGTGCTACCCTTGAACCACGCTGGGGGCCCTGTTGAAGGCCCTGAGTTTTGTGACGGTTGTCATGGCAGAAACCGCAGAGGTTAAATCTTCATGGTGAGTACACCAGTGGCTGCCATTGGGATTCAATGATCAATGGTCATTTCAGGAACCGATTTATTGGAGCCATATATATCCATATATGATATGCCTATTTTTTAGGCCTATGTATATAAGGGAATATCCCCACAAAATATGATGAACATCAACTTCCACAAAGAACTTGACAGTTTCTTAAACATGGGTTCCAATATTCCCAATGACTCTTGGCTGATCAGCCGTATTCGGGATGATGATGGTCATATGACTTTTGTCTGATAGGGTACCGCCCAAAGCCAGTGGTGCATCATCATTTTCCCTATTGAATAGCAATTTTATGGCTATACCACATTTCCAGACACACCCATATATTGAAACTCAGCAAAATCTTTAATAAGGTCCTTTTAGTGAGTCCCTTGAACTGTTCAATAAAAGCCAATCTTCATTTTTACTGCTAGGTGAACACATATATACATGTAAAGCAATTTATATATAGAGCATAGTTTAAAAGAAACAGACGTCCAAAACATTGGCATCCTTTGCATATGCATATATACAGTATATATACATGTATATGGACATGTACAATGTACAATGTAGAATGTACAATGTAGAATATACATGTATATATTATGTAATATTCTGTATATGTATTCGTATTCCTTCAATTTTTGCTGGCCTCCTCCCTGTTCAGGACATCCCCTTGACTCCCAAGGCCCACGCCCAGCGCTTCCGAGAGATGCGTTTGGATGCGCAGATGCAGCAGGTGCGACGTTTCGGGATCCGGTAGGGTGGGAGATGCCCGAAGAAATGTGGTTTTTGCTGGGAAAGTTAGGGAAAACCAAGACTGGAAGAACATGATATTTTCATGGGATGTAACGGTGTTTTCATAGGAAAATATGGGCGGAACTAGCCCAATTCATGACAATTTTGATGGAACACATGGTGAGTTTAATGGGTTTTCCTTGGGGGTTTTATTGGGAAATCATCAAAGCATGGGAATTTAACCCTGGAATTTAACCAACCATGGGATATTTCATGGGCACGACCAAATATCAACCACTAACATTGGGACGGAGTCATATCATATCCTCATGGACAACAAAGAAAATCGGTTTGAGACTCAAAGAAAAACACATCCAACCCTGGTTCTGTTCTTGCAGTCCCGATCCCTCATGTTTGCTGGTCTAAGATGGTTTCTGTTTTCAAAGATGGATGATTCCAAATAGGTGACTATTTTTTCAGATTCTTCAAGCACCAACATACAGGATCATACAGGCATATAGGTGATTTTTGTTTGTTAAAAAAGGGATTTCAAAGAGGGTTTTTCAAATAGGTGACGATTTTCCCCGTTGATTCGACCAGCACACCCAGGAATTAAAAGTGGGGCTGGAAGCGGCAAACCTTTACGGATTCTTCAGAGACACCAAAGGGAGTATCTGCATGATTCAAACCGGGATGCCCATTTTAGGAACGAGTTGCAGACTACCTTTGAGGTTTGAAGTCAGAACTCCAGGTGATTGATAGAAGGATCAAGTTACCACCTTCCAAGCCCTCTCTGTGTTTTCATGGGGTTGAAAGTCCCACCGCTTGAGAACGCTGAAAGGTGGACCATGGTGATTCAGACGATTCGTCAATTTCCATGGCCATTTTTCTTGGTTCTGGCCCTTCAAGTTGTAGGGATCATTGATTGGATCTGACCAGAAATCTGCATGATGGAAATCTCGCCAATCAGCAGAACCCGTACAGAACAAGTCACCGCTTCTCCCAAACCTATAACCTTATTAACCTTCTGTTCTAAACATGGAGCCATTTGGGGGTTTCTTAAAAAAGGGGGATCCCCAGAACCCAGAACCATTGGTTTTAATACTAAAATGGTCTAACTTGGATGATTCGGGGGTACCCCCACTTTAAACTTTAGGAAACCTTCCATTTTTCCGAGTTTTGTGTCTCCAATTTTTTTGCCCGTAAGTTCGCTTCCCAAGTTTTGGCGCACACCCCACACACGCACCCACTAGACTCACTAGATATATAATCAGAATTGGTGAAATGCACTAGGCATCACTAGGCAAATTACGCACATTTACGAGCAACAACCACCTCGAGGTAGAGTTTCGAATCCCCCGCGCAAACCATTTACTGCATCAACCCTGAATATTCAGCCGTGCGACCGACGGTATCATCAACCTGCGGTGATGTGGCTTGTGCCTTTCAGCGATGGGGTGCTCGTGTGACGGCCAATGCAAGCCGTCAGTTGCTCGCCACAGAACTTGTGGCTTGTGTGACAAAAACCCATAAAAAACACCGTTGGTCAGTGTTTCTCTAAAGATTTGGGATACGCCTAAAATGGCCAAATTGTCCAATCACTTCAAAAAAAAGATTTTGAAGGCACTTTTACTATTTTTACACAAATCCACATGGTTGCCGTGATGTTTTTCCTAATAACCACGACCTCCCCAAAAAGACGGCTCAAGATGAAAATTTGGTCCTTTGGTACCCCAATTTTGACCAATACCCATGATATGGCTATTTCAATGTCTCAAGATCTGGGTTCCCTACAAACAATCTGTGCCAATGTTTGATTGTCTTTTTCTGATTTGAAATTGTAATGTTTTAGTGAACTATGGTAATTACAGTCATCTCCAAAGAGATAGAACAGTACTTTTCGACTATTGGAATGTAGGATTTGATCAGTTTTTTTCTTCTTTGGTGGGGATTACTATATCTTAGGTCTACCCTCCCCACCCAGTAACAACAGTACATGGTTTTCCTTTAATCTACCCCAAAATTAGATATCAATTTTGATAGTTAACAGATGTTAACAGGGTATATCTCAATGTTGTTCCCCACAGGCTATCTGCCTGATACTCTAGTTTTGGAAGTTTTCAGGATCCCTTCATGCACTGAGGCGTCCGTCCGCAACGCTGCCCCGCGGCCAGCTGTGGGGATAGCCGCAGGACGAAGGGCGCGCTGGGCGAGAATTGGCTGGCGGTGGCAACTTGGTGGCTATTTATAGTGATATTGGATATCCCACAATGTGGGGCCCCCAAGATAGCTAAGTTGGTGCAAATAACTCCAATAACTATGGTTTATGGTACTTATAACTATAGTTAATGGGGGTTATAAACCAACTTGTAACTGGGGGGCCCCACATTGCATGTATGACTGAGATAAAACACCCGACCCTCCAGATGGGGCAGTTTAAACAGTTGGGTTCTTTTACCGAGGTCTCCTTCCTTGAGACTTGTGAGGCACATGCAGGCTGGAAACAGACCTGGCACAGCAGAGACCCGGGGTTTTTTGACAGGTGAATCATCTCCTTTCGTTATGGATTTGGTCCAAACTTTCATGGCAGATGCTTGTTTTCGCCCTCATGCTGAGTCAAACCAGCAAATTTTCAAGGACTCCCACCAAATGTTTTGCTTACGAAAGAGTCTCTTCTTTGATTTCTATGTCAAAGGGGACATATTCATTATTTTCTACATATTTTCTACATATTTTCTACTTTTGACCTGGGATTTTTCCTACATTTTTTCCCAAACGCGCTGTTGTGCTGTTGCGCATTTCAAGAGCCAACCTCCTGGACAACTGGCATGTGTTCAACAGCCACCGTGGTGTGATTTAAATGGTTATGAATGGTGGTGAATGGTTCTTAATGGCTAATAATCCATTAAATTAAACTAATGACTATTATATATAATGGTTTTTATAGCTATCATGATTAGCCTTAGCTAATGAATGGTTCTTGATTTCTTAATTTAAATGAATGGCTAATGATGGCTATAAGAAATCCAAGTGTTTTTTAGCCATCCCCAATTTAACATGCAGCGTTTTTCTCAAGAGTGAGATAAGATGGAAGACACAGGGTGTGATTGTTGATATTTTTTTACACATACCCTCCAGTTAATACAGACGATATGGAAAATCTACCATTGGCAGATCATTTTCCGAAGAGGGAAGCATGGGTTTTCAATCTCTCTCTCTCCCTCTCTCTATCTCCCTTTTCTGTTAATTACCCCCAGGGTAGTCTTTAAAGGTTGCTAATGGTTCCTAATGGAATTGAACCACCAAGAACTGAATTTTATATCAGAACAATAGGGATTTACCATTATCATCACTCCCAAACACATTAAAACACATTAAAAAAAATTAAACCACATTAAAACACATTCAAACCAATTTATCACTATAATATATATATATATTATATTTTTGTATATATATATAAATATATATATATATAAATACAATATATATATATAAATAAATATATAAATAAATATATATATATATATAAGTATATATATATATAAATATATATCAATATGTATAAATATAAACATATATATAAATATATATTAATACGTATATAAATAAAAATATGTATAAATATATATATTTATATATATAAACAGATACATATATATATATAAACATATATATATAAACATATATATATAAACATATATATATATATATCTAAACACATATATATATATATATACAAACACATATATATATATAAACATATATATATATACAAACACACATATATATATATATATAAACATATATATATATAAACATATATATATATAGACATATATATATATATATTTACAAACACATATATATATATATAAACATATATATATATATATAGACATATATACATATATATATATAAACATATATATATATATATATAGACATATATATATATATATCAACATATATATATATACAAACACACACATATATATATCAACATATATATATATACAAACACACACACATATATATATAAACATATATATATATAGACATATATATGTTTATATATATATATACATAAATATATATACAAACACATATATATATATATAAACATATATATATATATAAACATATATATATATACAAACACACACATATATATATAAACATATATATATATATACAAACACACGTATATATATAAACATATATATAAACATATATATATATATAAACATATATATATATAAACATATATATATATAAACATATATATATATAAACATATATATATAAACATATATATATATAGACATATATATAAACATATATATATATACAAACACACATATATATATAAACATATATATATATTATATATATACATAGACATATATATATATATATAAACATATATATATATACATATATGTATATTTGCTGGGTTTTTACTCTTCTTGGGGGTTGCCCCCAAAAAAATCCATGACATTCAGGTGACTCCTCCTCGCTGGCCGCGGCTTGCACGCACTTGGCGCGGATCTTGGGGGATGAGGCGCGTGTTGACCGTGTTGAGCCGTGGATTACCCTCTGGCAAAGTAACATAGCTATTGAAAATGACCATTTATAGTGGATTTTCCCATTAAAAATGGTGATTTTCCATAGCTATGTTAGTTTACCAGAGGGTATATGATGATTATACACTATGATAAACATGATCATAATCCAAATAATATTAGACTACGATAATCTATTATATAATCATCTGTAATACGACCATAATCCCAATATAATCCCAATATAATCCAAATATAATCCAAATATAATTCAAATACAATACCCCATAAATAGCTATAGTACCCAGGTTCACATAGCTGTTTATCGAAAGTTGATAGTAGGGGATGTATTGAGAACTACTGTACTCAGGAATAAATAGGGCTTTGTATCCATTGATAAAGGTGAACACTAGTGGTTAGCAACTGGACATTTCAGGTTGGTGAGTATAATTCGCTCATCATCATCATCATCATCATTTTCTTGATATATCACCTACATAATTCATGCTTCTACCCATCAGATGCCATGTGACCGTCCAGCGGATCAGGCTGCCTGGCGCGAGGCTCTCTTGGAGCAACAGCGTCGGGGGAACCAGGGGATTCCATGGGCAAGTCATGGGACAAGGACCGATAGATGGGCATAAAGTGGACATTTAATTATTGGGAATACTCTGTATCTACCGTACCTATCTATCTATCTATCTATCTATCTCTCTATCTCTCTATCTCTCTATCCCTCTATCCCTCTATCTCTCTATCTCTCTATCTCTATCTCTCTATCTCTATCTCTATCTCTACCTCTATCTCTATCTCTGTATCTATCTATCTCTATCTATCTATCTTTCTTTCTTTCTTTCTATCTATTTCTGCACGGATTGGGATTTTTCCAATCAACGACAAAAGAAGGTAACAGGGACCCCACAGCCTTCAATGTCCAAATCTCAAATAAAAGGATCCTAGAAGTGTTTAATTTTCAACCCAACTTGGAAAAACAGGGTGGTGCCCTCAAGTTATAAGTTGCTCTATAAACCCACAACGATGGATATATTGACATAGTTGCCATAAATCCATTTCTAAATAACAAGATTCATCCAACTTATAAACCAACTTAGCTGGGATTTTTCTAGACTTAGAGTGCCAAAACCCACTTATAAACAAACAAACACAACTTAGTCGACTTGCACATGGACTCGGCACAGTCAGGCCGAGCCTGTGGCGGCTGCCTGCGCTTCGAAGGTACTTGGCGGCGCAGCTACCTCTGCGTCCATCGGCAAGGCAGGGCCGCCATGGGGAGCAACGTCCCATTTTTTTGGGACGGAAGAGGGGAGCAACTCTGTTGAATCGTTTCTTTTTGTGTTGTGTTGAATCGCTTTCCCTGCCACATATTTGCGAATAGCTGCAAAAAATCTCAGACAATAGATGGGTTTGTTTGGAAATCAGGTACCACTCAATCCTCTGGTTGATGATGGTTTTCCCTTTTCGAATGGTTGTTGGAGTATGGAGTATACCCTGTTTTGAGACCAACCCATATGCAACTTGATTTTCCACCAACAAAAACTGTTGATTGTTACAGAAAAGAACGACATACATATTCGATTAAAAATCATCATTCTATGGGCCTAACCAGCTTGCCAGGTATTTATATTTGTAACAGTATTCAACCATCAAGGAATAGAGATGATTTTAAGTCTTGTAGAAATACCAAACAGTGATAGATGGTTTATTACCATATGATTCATTCATAACTTAGTCGATTTAACCAATGAATGATACTTTGGATTAGGTCCCAACTTGTGAACGTGGGTTATACTAGCTGTTCATTGTTGGATATACGGTTTTCACCATTATTTCGCCCATTTGTGCGATGGTTAAATTAAAACCTCTATTGGATTAATTGGTGAAATGAATGAGCTGGCATCCCCGTTTGGATAGTTAATTGGCACTGCCTTTCAATAGGGATTCAATGATCATTTCACCAATTTATGTGTACCCTCTGGTATTCCAACATAGCTATGGAAAATAGATGATTGACCTGTTAAAAAGGTTGGATTTCCAGTTGCAAAGTGTTTGATTCCAGAGGATAATAGACGCTTAACAGTGGATATACGATCGATGGTGAAAGGTCTTAAAATAACATCAGACAACAAAAAAACATAATCCATGAACATAATAGTAATCCATATAGCAGTGGATAATAGATGGTCAATGGACTCTAGCTGGTACTAAGAACGGAACAATCGTAACAATCTTATGATACTGTTGATGGTTGCGAAATCCTGCACCCCCTTGGCTGCTTGAAAGCCTATAAATAATGGGATGTTTACCACCTATCAACTGGTGCAAATAACTCCAATAACTATGGTTTGTGGTACTTATAACTATAGTTACTGGGGCTTATAAACCAACTTATAACTGAGGGGCACCACATTGTATCAACTGGTGCAGGATTTCTTCCATCAGTAGCAACTGATGGTTATCATTTGACCTATCCATTTGCCTCGACCGACTCGTTTTTCCGAGGCTGCCCTGGCCGTGGCGCCGCAAAGCCGCGGTGGTCAGCGAGATGGGCTCTGCAGCCTTCGCTGCCGAAAGCGAGCTGGGCAGAGGCGGGCCAAAAAAATGGTGGGCTGGATGGGTACCCTCTGGTAAACTAACATAGCTATTGAAAAAAACACCATTAATAAAACATCTATAAATGGAACATCACCATTTTAATAGGTAAAACATCTATAAATGGAAAATCACCATTTTAATAGGTAAAACATCTATAAATGGATATAAATGGTCCATTTTCCATAGCTATGTTGAATTACCAGAGGGTAGTTTACCCGAGGGGAAACGAAGAGTTCGATGTGGAACGCCACTGAAAGATCAGGACACCTTGATAAACTATGGGTTTTCCACATCGAACTGTTAGTTTACCCCAGGGTAATCAGTTTTTTGCTATAAATGGAAAATAAACATCATCAGCAAAAGATTAATTTGTTGAGTACCAAAGATTGACCATGAGTTATGGCAATTTCATGGGGAAAACGATGGTGATGAATTCCATCAAATTTGTTGCTTTGGCAAACAAGAATCAGACAAAACCCAGGTTTTTTGGGTTTTGTCGTGATGGGCCATGAATTTCAAGAGACCATGCCGCACCCCATTTAGCATAATTCACCCAATTCTACCATTGGTGTGTGTGTGTGTTAAAAACAATACCTTGGGTTATCGGGATGTACCACCTATAACGTGATAAGTACAACAGTAAAGAATGCCATCGTCGTTTTTGCCGAGGAGTCATCAACCTTACCATACCTTACCTGGTTGGCGATCATCCAAGTGGAGAGGAAAATCCATGAGCTTCCCTATAACTTATGACTTTTGATGTAACAATGTTCTGTTACTGCCAGCAACAAATGGGTTTTATTTGATCGGTTCTGAACTGGTGGTTAGCACCTGGAAACGCTTTTTGCTTGTAATCCCGTCCCCCCTATCTGAAAAACACCTCCTCAAGTCCCGATGTCGATTTCATCCATTGCATCTCCACCTTGATGTCTGGCTGTTCAATATTGACAGGAATTGACGCGGGATGAATTCACCATTTCAGGGATCAGCTGCTCCCCATATGACTCAACAGAGGTCTTGCAGCGTCGCAAGTGGCTGGAGGGTGAGGTGCCCATCCTTTCTCCAGAGAAGCCCTACTTGTTAGATGCCAAGGTCAGGGCCATGTTCGACTGGAAGAGTCGGTTGGATGACCTTTTTTTGCGGTCAAAAGCGATGAACTTCATCCCCCATATTTTTGTGGATGAAGATTACCGGCTCTGAAAATTTGTGAACTACAGAATATTCGGATTTTCGGGTTTTGACCCATAGCCATAGACAGTATATGCTTCTATTTTAGGGATTCTATGAGTATGGATGATCATAGTCCATATGAATTCCCATGCCCATGATATCCCGTGATATCTCTTGATGTGTTCCACTGCAAGAGATCGGCGCAGGTGGCCACTCTGACTCTGTTGCTGGTACTATGATGATTATTCTCATCATTATATTATCATCATTATAACATGACTACATTATACTATAATGTATATTTATATATGTATATATATATATATATATTGTCTTATATCACAGTTTTGGATGCGATATCACAAGATGTCACGGGGTATCATGGGATATACCGTGAAATTCATGCATATCCACCAAATACAGGAACATGTTGATACACCAAAACTGGCCGATAATCCCCATATTATCCCGATGATGTTCAATATTTGCCATTTGCATGTAGATTTCACAAAATGACCTATGCACTTGCTTTGAGCATCCACAACTTCGTAGTTAATCCCACTATATATCCCCATTAGATATACCTATACCATTAGCAGTATTATATATATATATGCATCCTCATTCGATATACTATTATTATTAGTCCCACTTAAAACCATAATATTTCATCATGTATCAGTTCGAATATAATGAATTGGTTTATAAGCCCCATTAACTAGTTCGATGTATGTATCATAAACCCTGACCCAGTGAAATTGGAGTTATTTTTACCAACTTAGCGATTCCGAACTGGGGCACTACTTTGTGTTAACCAATAAAGCCATCATAAAATCACCATAGAATCACCATATAATCACCAGTTTGGAGGTTTCCTAAAATGGTGGTACCCCCAATAATCCAAGTCATGGATGTCCATTTTAACATTGAAAAATACGGTGACTTGGGGATCCAAAGCATTTTATTCCTCAAGCCAGCATTTATATTAATCCCAATGAAGAATGGATATGATGGATATAACTATATATATAGATACATATATATATATATATAACTATATATATAGATACATATATATATATGTATATATATATAATCTCACAATACTGCCCATTTATTTATTCTCATTATAATCCCCCTATAATGGTTTATAATCCCCAGAAATGGATTATATATTCCCATGATGCTCCCCATTGGAAGCGCCTGAAGAGCCTGAATGGGCCTATGCCGTCTGAAAAAATGGTCGCAAGTTGTGGAAGATCCCCATTTTTTTTTTGGGATGACATGGCTTATAGATGAATTACAAACCAAGAAGATCGGTGGATTATAATGATTAAAATTATACATGGCTTACTAAGTGATTTTTTTCACTTCGAAGTTATACCCATATAACAGTGAACTACAGTGAACATGTGAACAGTGAACTTATATATGGCTTATCATTGTCACTCTATATTCTCCGCTTATCATCATTATTACTCTGTATGGCTTAATATCAATATTATCATTAATCTATATTAATATTATGAACTAAAGAAGCCGAATGGGGCCATTTATAAACCAGTGATACTATTCAATGGCGACTAATTAAATTATCAGCAACTAAGATAACTATTAACAAATAGATATTATTAATCACCAGTGAATAGTGATAACTATGAAAATAAAAGTTCACGCCCTATTATTCATCACTGGTTATTAATAACTATTCACAGGTACATCATCAATTTTAGTAACATTATTAATAATTATGATCAGTTTATTAATCACTATTAATCACTATTAATCTCTATTTATCACGATTAATCACTATTAATCACGATTAATCACTATTAATCACTATTAATCACTATTGATCACTATTAATCACTATTGATCACCATTAATCACTATGAATCACTATTAACTTTGATTATAAGCTCACTATTCACAGAAAGGCGGATAACAGATATTTATCACTCTCTGGCGAGCTGTTTAACAACTATTGGGGGATTTATATCATATCATTAATCCCACTATATATGACATAAATCCCCCATTCGTTATTAATCACTGGTGATATATCATATCACTGGTGAGCTGATTTATACAATATATCAGCAATATAGAGATATTAATATGTTATTACAACTCATTATTAACTATCAATCCCTATGAATCACTATTGATTCTTATTATATATCATTATCAATCCGTATTAATCGCTGTTAATCCCTATATGAACCTGGTTGGTGGTTTCAAACTTTTTATCATCTTTTTATACACAGGATGTCATCCTTCCCATTGACTTTCATATTTTTCAAGATGGTTCAAACCACCAACCAGATATAAATCAAGATATATAAATCAACATAAATCCACATAACTCCATATAAACCCATAATAAATCAGATAATAAATCATATAATAAATCAGATAATAAATCATATAGTAAATCAGATAATGATTAATCACCAGTGAACTTTCCTCCCACTTTTTCTTCGGCCAGGCGCTGCTGCCGCAGTACTTCGCCGCGTGGCCGGGCGCTTGGCAGCTGCCAAGGCTGCGGCGACGCTTCGCGCGGCGGCGTTTCAGCGTGGCGCTGCCGGGTGCCGGGGAGGCGGGAAGGTGGGGAGATCATGCGTGAATAGTGGGTGAATAGTGGGTGAATGTTGGTTAATAGTGAGTGAATGTTGCTTAGTGATGGTTGATAGTTCATGATGTTTAATCTTGGGTGAATAGTGGGTTGATAATGGTTCATGAAGGTTAGTTGATAGTGAATGATGCTTAAGACTGGTTGTTCATAGGAACTTTCCATGGAAATTGAACCTCCATAAGTTGGGATAAGACCCCAAGAGTTATGGCAGTTATGGTAAGTTTAGTTAGTAGTTAGTACCCTCTTAAAGACCCGGTGCCCTGCATTGGATTTACTCATTTTCGGGCATCCCACGAAAATCATTTTCATGAAATACATTTACAATCCCACTAATGCATCCCCTAATTAATACATTTTCAAGGGTGCCCCCCATTAAAATTTTGGGCATCTTGAAAGTGTATCAATTAGGGGATTGGAAGATATCCCCACGAAAGGTGGTGCCCCCCAGCTATAAATGTCATAAGTTGGTGTGTTAAACCATCGGACTATAGTTATAATCAACCCTTAAACCCAAACCCTAGCTAATCTAGTTGTAAACCAACTTAGCGATCTATGGGGCACCAGCTTGTGGGGATAAATCATTAGAAATGGGATTAACATAGATTAACTGGATAAGACTTCATTTTTGTGGGGAGAAAAAGAGAGAACACTTTTTGAACAGGTTTTCTGCAAACACATGCAAAGCCCACGTGTGCCCACGTGTGCCCACCACAGATTCCGCATATCCTTCGACATGCTCAAATCCTTGCGTAGAGCTAGCGTTGCTTTGATAAAACCCTGAACCCCTACTGTACTGTAAGCCCTGAAATCCCAACAACCTAAGCCCTAAAACCCTAGATCCTGAAAGCCTAAAGTGTTTTCGTTCATCCTCTGGTGACAAGTAAATTGTTTGGGTACGGTATTTGGAAGTGGTCGAACACAGGAAAGCCGGTGCGAAGAGGTTGAATTGACCCTTCCATTTTATGGGGATTTTACTTGAATCACGTATATTTTTCTGGGGTTGCTACAAACTGGAAGAAATATGCAAGTGGGGTTAACTGATGGCAATTTACCTGTTTGGAACCTGGGATGGATTTTTTTCCCACGGAATGCCAATGTTTTTTTGTGAAAACCCAATGTTTGTCAGTGAAACCAGATGTGTTTTTGCAAAATCCTGATTTGTAGTTGCCATACAAGGGCCGTGTTTGTTTCTCAAGTCCAATTTTGCCAACGGTTGGATATCCACTTTTCACAGACAGCTCGCACCATTTTATAGCTACACGTTTGTTACGGTTACACGGTTACACGTTTGTTACGTTGAATCCGCCACTTTCGTGAAAAACGTGTTCTCCATGTTTGTTACTGAGTTATCAACAAGTTCAACTACCCTCTGGTAGTTTAACATAGCTATTGAAAATGACCATTTATAGTGGATTTTCCCATTAAAAATTGTGATTTTCCATAGTTATGATAGTTTACCAGAGGGTAATCATGCAAAGAGTCCATGTGGGTTAACTATCTGCATTTCTTGGGAAACCCATGTTGTGTAAAAATTTCTCTTGCATGCAATACTACCTGGTGAACTGATATTTCTACTGACAACTCCCCCCTTGAACATTTTATAGTAATATAGCCATATGTTCATGTATTATATCTCCATTGTGTCTCCCATTATATATATACACATCATCCTGAGAATATATGCCACGTATCCTAATTATGGTTTCTTAATGTCCCCCACATATTTGTCCATGTGGATGAAAAAAACACAACGAGAGAAGCCTTTGGCGGTGCTGGAATGTCTGGGATTGGGGGGTAACCATCCCTAAATGGCCGAACAGACTCAGCCGCTTTGTGTGGTTTCTTTTCAGTATACCATCTGGCTATGACTAACAGTTCGCCATGGAAAATCACCATGCTATTAATAGGTAAACCATCTATAAATGGGCCATCTATACCATGTTAAATAACCAGAGGGTAATTATGTAGATACCATTAGATACCCATAAGTCCCAAAATTAATGCACATGAGTCCCATTTCCACTATATAATATGACCATTTAAAATGCCTTTAGATTCCAAGTATATCCTTGGTTTTATTCCATTATGGCTATTTGGCTGTGGCTCAAAATTATTGAGCTCCATTTTTGCATGATTAAATTGGTTCAAAATGTGTCCGGTATGTGGTACCTCCATTGTGAGTCAGATGGTTTGGTGAAAAACCCCTAGATGCTTCCAAATATCTCCAAATCCCCGAAACAACCTCTGGTTTCTGGGGGGTTGTAAACTGAAAAATCAGAACCGGGGGCTGGGAGGAAAAAAACACATGAAATCTGTATGGTTTTCCCACTATTTTCACATAACAAATCTCCATGATCTCCCATGAAATCACCACGAAATCCACCATTTTTGGTGAAAATCACTGAATCACCTGGTGAAAATCACCTGTTTCTTGTAGCTTTTCCCATGGATATTCCCATTTCCTGCTGGATTTTTCCCATGAACAGTCCCCTGCCCCGCGCAGGTCTTCCGCATGGAGCTGTGCCACTTCCTCCGCTACGCCTCAAGCGGCGCGGGCGCGGGCGACGCGCTGCCGCCCCGCTGGGATGCTGAGCCCTTGCCGCGTGGCGTGAGAAATGGGATGCAGTGGGTAAAACAATATGGAAAAACTATGGAAAACTATGGAGGGGAAAACTTTTTCTGGGACAAGGGAGGAAAATTGATGAAAATGGACTGTTTTCTGATGTTTGCTGCTTACTCTTCGTCAGTGAAAGCCTCATCATTGTCAAAGATCTGAAGTGGTGAAATAATCATCCCTGGTACACCAGCGGTTTAAATCCCCAAAAACTAGACTCAAAAGGCTCCTCATCATAAACTCAAAAAACGAACAAAACATAGCAAAGATATGGTTTAAATGTTCATCAACACGATCTTGGCTGGGCATTCTTTAAAGCCTATGGAGTCAAGCATCATGCTAGCACAAACTTTTGACTGAAGCTGCTAAATATGTGGCATGCCAACTATACACTTGAATATTTCTTTGCTGCAATAAAATGTACCAGTCCAGCCACTGTGAGCCCAGAAGAAAACAAACGTAAGTCATTGCATGGTCATTACATGGTCACTTCTGCTTATGCAAAGTGTTCTGCCCAATGTGGTGCAGGCTGTGGTTCACAAGCTGTTTGTGCTTTCAACATGTGTGCTTTCATTTCACCTGACCGACCCATACTAATATTTCCCATTACCCTCCAGTAAACTAACATGGCTATGGAAAATCACCATGTTTCATAGGTATATAAACTATAAATGGCAATTTTCAATAGCTATTTTGACATAACCAGAGGGTAGATGGCAATGTTCTAGGTATCACGGGAGCCTTTGTGCTCAAGAGTTTTTTCAGCTCCGATCTCCTGTGAATCTCCTCAATGGGCTGCGGTGCGAGTGCCACCAGTGCCAAGGTACGACTGGGCAGAGCTGTTTTGTTGGCCATTAACCTCCACCAGGGATGGAGGTTTCACTCAAAATGGTGATTTTTCACTAAAAAATGGTGATTTTCCACTAAAAATGGTGAATTGACCAAGAAAGATGGTGGATTTTTCAGTAACTTGCGAGGTTACAATGCCTTGTTCCTGAAAAATGGAATTGACTCGGGCTGTTGCGGCTTTTTCTAGTGATGAATGAGTGTCAAGACATAGCAATCTTCTGAAACATCAGCTACCAACCCCCAAAAAAGTGGCTTTAGGCACAGCCTCCCGCACTGATGATGATGCCTGCGGTTGTGCTGCTAGCATCTACCAGGTATAGATCGGCAGAACAGGCTCCAGCCAAGATCGGCATTCTATATACCCTCTGGTTATTTAACATAGCCATGGTATAGATGACCCATTTATAGATGGTTTACCTATTAATAGCATGGTGATTTTCCATGGCTATGTTAAATAACCAGATGGTATATAATTATCACCCAAATAGCTTCAAGCATCTTCAAGCCAAGTAGTATGAGGGCATGACTCCTGCAGGTTTTAGGCACTTCTTGTTTGGCTGTGCTCTTTCAGTATCCTTTCAGTATCCTATTTCAGTTTAACAGCTGGACAGATTCATATCCTTTAACTGGCTGCAAGGGCTCCTGAAGCTATTGATGTATAATTAAGATTAATTAAGTATCTAAGTCTGTACATCCATTCATGAACACACCTTCACAGCATCATTTCATGAATTTCGTTCTCGGTGATTGATCCCCATCTTGAATAGACGTACTGCAGTGATGCGCAGTGATTTGCAGGAACATAAATGTGTTAGCAATGAGTAGTATCAAGATTCTTGGAAAAACGTGATGACTATTGCATGTACTATTGTTTTGTTTTTTTAAACATTCCTGCCATATATATAAAATTTTGCTGCCATGTAATTATATAATTGTATACTTGTCAATTTGAGTTTTTTTTATTGCCATTTTGGTTCGTTGTTAAAATTGTAATCATGTCATATTTTTAAACAACAATCACAATGTTGTTACTTATGGATTTGTAGTTATTTCATGTTATTTCTATTTTTTTAAACATGATAATGCTACTGTGTTTTACAAGTAATTATAAAAGGCAACTAGAGTATTGGAACTATGCGGCAACGATATTTAAATATGTGAAGGGCCGGAGGTAGTATGAAACATTAGTTTCATCCGTATATTTAAATGTATGTTTAAATAAATTGGATTCCGTATGTTTAAATGGGGCCAAGGAAAACCTTCCCGGAGGTAGTCTAAAATACCAATTCGTATATTTAAAAAAACCGTATATTTAGATGTAGTTACGATATGGCTTAAAAGTAACTATGGAATCTCTTTTAAGTAATGTAACAACCATGAACAAGTCCAAAGGTAACTATAATGTACTACAATATAAGTAATTCCTCCGTTTTTTTTTGGCAGCTACTTTTGATATCCAGAAAGCAACAGCGGCTACACGGCGGGCGCGCCGACGCGGCAGGTCATGGACTTTGATCCGGTGAACTCATTGCTATTATTGTTTGGTTAAATCATAGGAATTGTACGGGGGGGATTTAAGATGATTTTAAAAAGATACTTCACTATGAAATTAATGGGTTGTAGATGGTTTTAGCCATTAAGAATGGATTTTGAGTGGGATTCTAACCATGGACCATCCATCAACTGTCGGGGTCTTACGTGGCTTTAGCTATGAAACATGTGGAAATCATTGATAGATGATGGTTTGTTTTGATCTACCTGATTTTACGGGATTGTGAGAACCAGTGATTGAGGAGATACTGTTCTTAACCAACCCGTATTTCATCGGATTGGAGAGGAGTATTTTTCATGGATCACCTGTCATTCTTGCTTGGAAAATTGGGACTTAACCATCCATGAATGGGGATGCACGCATCCATGGGACTAACTGCAACCATTATATACTACAGTGAAGATTGAACCGGCAAAGTATTGCAACTGCAATTCATTCAGAGTTGTCACACTTATGTGCAGTTGATTGAGTTCTGGCCTGTTTTTGTCCTTGGGCCCAAACATTCAGGGGGCCCTCTTGTGCAGCCAACTCGTTGCGCTACGCGATGGAAATGGGTCGCTTGTGACCGCGTTGTGAGGTGGCTTTCAGTAAGCCTTGGAGGACGATTTGTGTTGTGTATATCATTCTCTTTTTGGAACATCCAACGTCTGATTTTCAGTCGCAATCTCAGTTCCGATCTTGCTACCTGAATTGGTAGCGGAGCGAGGTGCTCCAAGACCCGCTCAATTCGCTCCACTGTGTGCTCTGCGGTAGCTGATGAATTCAAAGGAACGAGATTCAAGTGTTTCAACTTGGGATGGCTCATCAAGAACGTGGCGGAGGTATGTGAAGGAAATTGGTTGGTTTGTAGGATCGACAAAGTCGTCGCAACGGAAATATGTTGCCAACAAGCTGATCAGTAAACTCACAGGCTCTGCGAGATTGCTTGCGACGTCATGGTCCTTAAGGGACTTTGAAGGTGAACGAGGTGTTCCCTTGCTTCTCCAAAGGTTTGCATCGTCGCCATTGGTGAGATTTTCTGGTGAGGGAGACTTTGGGATTCGAAGAATTTTCTGAAGCTGTGATTCAACTCAAGGAAGAGCTTGATGGCGTGGATCCTGCCAAGCGAGTGTTTGATTTGCCCTGGCTCGGATGATGAAGACTGGAACTGGCGTAACTATGGTGGTTGGCGTAATTGGTCACAGTATCAACAAGACAATGACAATCAGTACGAAGATCCAGATCGCCCTGACCGTGGTGATTACAAACAAGTTCCACAACAGTCAGAGCATGGTTCGGAGACCAAACCAACCGCAGGTTCTCTGAAGGGTCCTGGTCCTTCATCACCGTCGAGAGGGGTACCATCACATAAATCTGTTGTTGATCCTCCCAAACCTGATGCTGGCGGCCTTAGCACTATGGATTCATTCATCCTCGACGTTTTGAGGGGATGGAGACTTCTGGTAGCGGCTTCACCTAGTCCTGATGAATGGAGAGATGTTTTGGCAACTACTGGTAACAAACTGGATTATCTCAGTGTGTCTGCAGCTCTTCAAACACTTTGGGATGAACAGTTGAGTTGAGTGGTAGCGCCAAGTGGCATGGATCATCTCAGTCTCACAACGGTTTCTGGACGGAAAGGTCATGGCCCGCTGACCCATGGCAAGATTTATATCTAGCATGGAATGACTGGTCATACGATGATGAGTCTGAATGGTGGTCCGGTGCTTGTGATGCAGCGGCTTCAGAACTTCCACCTCCTCCCAATGATGACAAGGAGATGGACATGGATCCGATGTTAGCTGAAGCAGTTGAAGCGGAAAAGGCCGCTGAGAGCTTAGCCATGGAAGCTAAGAGGACATGGGCCCAGGCCCAACAGGCCACACAACAACTTCGTAGGGATCGTGGTTTTGGAAAATCTGGTTCATCATCATCCCAATCTATTCGTGGTTACTTGTGTGGGGGACCTCATCTCAAAAAGATTGTCCAGATCGTCAACATCCATCATGTGTAAATCTCTTTCTCCTGCAGAACTTGATGCGTATTTGACTGGAAAATAAAAGGGTAAGATGGGTGCTTCCTTCAAGGGCAAATCCAAAGATGGCATGTACACGTACTGGGATGGTGGAAACTGGGAAGCGGACCTCTATTTCTCCAACAATGGCAAGGGCAAGCATATGAAGAGTAAGATGAAACCCTCCGCAAATTTTTATGGTATGGGTTTGTATTCCCTTCCATTTGATGATTTTGGTGTATGTCATGGTGATCCTTCTGAACCCCTTCAACTACATCCTTTGGAACTTTATTCAGAAAATGATGTTGGTCCTGTTCATCGGTCGGTTCCTCCTGGTTTTGGGATGTTGGACTGTGGAGCAACGGCTTCAGCTGGTCCAGAGGGTTCAGTCAAAAGGCTCATTGGGGCTTTGCGCAAACATGACCCGGAACTTCAAGTTAGCTTCAACTATGAGAAACGCCCCTTCTTTCGATCTGGTTCAGGCAAATGGGGTCAAGCACTATACCACATGGTCATTTCCAGTTCTTTGCCAAATGGTCGCTATTTTGACATGTATGTCCTGGAGAACCCCAAGGAATTCTTTGAGGATT